TGTCGGTGGTGGGGCCGGGAAAGCAGAGCGATGGTGGTCTGTTTGGAGCTGTTTGTCTCCTGGATGCCTGAGTGTCCAGGGACGGCCTCCATGGCACCTGGCTGGCGTTGCTGGGGCTGCTGGTCTCGGCGCTGTGGGCTGGCACGTCGCCCATCCTGCGTCGTTTTGCCAGCGGGCCCTGGAGCGACAGTGGGTCTGCGGCTCCCTGTGGATGGCCTCGCTTCAAGCTCAGCCTTCCACAGGGGAAGCTGCTGCTGCAGCTGCTGGTGACCAGCATTACGTCCTGGGACAGCCCTGGCACCTCCTGAGTGGCGGTGCCGGGGCTGCTGGTCTCAGCGTGCTGAGCTGCCACGTCGCCCATTGGGCAGCAATTTGCCAGCGAGCCCTGGGGTGTTTTTGGCTCTGTATCTGCCTGTGGATGGCCTTGCTCCAAACTCTGCTCTGCGTAAGGGAAGCCCCCGTTGCTGCTGCTGCTGGTGCCCAGCTTCACGTCCTGGGACAGCCCTGGCACCTCCTGAGTGGCGGTGCCGGGGCTGCTGGTCTCAGCATGCAGCAGTGGCCCGCGGTTGAGCCGTATGGGCTTCGCTGTGTGGCTGCCTGCGCCTTGTGCTCGCTGTCCCCACGAGCGGCGTCGAGCCTGGGATGGCCTGGTCTCTTGAGAGAGGCTGCTGCTGCTGGTTGGATCTGCCTCTGTCCCGTGATGCAGTGTGAAGGGAGAGAGAGAGAGAGAGGACATGATGTGTGAGCAGCTTCTCAGGGCTCAGGAAATGTCCCTGCAGGATTGTTCCCATGGCCCTGCTGTGTCCCTGTTGGGCTGGCTGAAGGGCAAGGGAGGCACAGGTGCCCACGGCCCAGCCTGGCCCCGCTGGCCCCTGAGGGGATGGCTCTAATCTGGGGTTGTTCTGTGGAGCTCCTGCTTCCCCTTTCTGCTGCTTTTGGCCACTCCCCCTGTGCCAGCCATGGGGAACTGTGGGCAGGGAGACTTGGCTCTCACCTCTCTCCTTCCCAGGAGGACACTTCTCAAGAGAGTCCTGCCGCTCCATCGAGGATATGGACGAGTGCCTGGAGGGTCTGTGCCGCAGCACTGCCGGCCTTTCTCCTCCTGACAAACGTACCAATCCTTGGCTGGGTGGCGAGAGGTGCGTATGAGCTGCCCAAGAGACACCAGAAGTGGCCCAGTGGGCTTGGGAAGCTGCTTGTGCGCGATCCTCTCCTCGACTCTGCAAGTTGTGTTGCTGCACAACCCAGCTCTGCAGCTTAGGCCTGGGTGATGATGTCACAGGAGCCCCTGTGACCTCAGCATCAGCGCTCCGTGCGTGACCCCCAGGCCTGCTTTGGGGAGGGTGTCCTTGTGGGTGCTGACAGGGACTTTGTTGGGCACATAGGACGTAACAAAAGTCTCTGTTGCTTTATGCCTTCTAAGTGCTGTTATTAGTCAGTGGCATGGCCTAAAATTTGATAGTCTGGAAAATTTGGTACACAAACGTTTGGTGAAAGCGATTGAAAGCCTGGAGAAATTGTCTGTATTTCAGAGGTTTACAGATATTCTGTCAATGATACACGTTATAGCATTCAGTGTCTGGATGGGAATTTTGATTAACTTCAAACAGATGAAATGAAATATATCAGCAATCTTCTACACAATAAGTCCTTTAAGGATTTCTTAAATTGCTGTGTCCTGCACGTGACTTTTCCTATGCATATATATATGCTTCTATGGAAGTGCATACGTCTCTTTTCCTAGAGACGTATCTATAAATATTTTTGGTGTCTTATTGCCATTGTGATTTGACTCAGATGAAACCTTGTCAGAGTTGAGTGTGTGATTTTTCTGATCTAGGTGTGAGCAGTGCCTGAGCAGTGCCTAGGCCTGAAGAGTGGAGCAATGGAAGTGTGAGTGTAGGGTGCCGCCGCTGAAGGAGGCAAGGATTTGGTTTTAGATGAGCAGTGTTCAAGTGAGAGGCGTGGCTTTAAGTGCCAGGAAGAGTGGATTCCAGCCCCCTGCTTCAGGGCATGTGCCCAATAAGCCCAGGAAGAGTCAGTGCAGCCCTCAGGGTGCCTGCACCAGCTGAGATGCAGGAGCTGAAAAACCAAAGTTGTTTTCCCTTGTGGCATGCAGCGTATTTCTAATTTAAATTCAGTTAATTTCTTCCTCATCATGGGAGGTGCCCGGGGGGTGCCTGAGGGGACACAAGGATCAAGTTTTTAGCAGCTTCCCA